TTGCCCCCTTTTTGCAAGTAACCTTTCGTCAAGAAAACTATCTTTCATGTTTCGAAACCTTTCTATTCTCTGCATCACTTTACTCATCTAGATCAACTCAGTTACTCATGCAATAGGCTTTCATTTTTAATCGAATCAATAGTATCTTTATAAACATTACTTCTTGAAACTATAGCCCCCTTTTTGCAAGTAACCTTTCGTCAAGAAAACTTTTATTCATGTTTCGAAATCTTTCTATTCTCTGCATCACTTTACTCATGTAGATCAACTCAGTTACTCATGCAATAGCCTTTAATTTTTAACAGAATCAAACTTATCTTTATCAACATTTCACCTTGAAACTTTGGCCCCCTTTTTGCAAGAAAGCTTTCGTCAAGAAAAACTATTATTCATGTTTCGAACTCTTTCTTATCTCTGCATCACTTTACTCATCTAGATCTACTCAGATACTCATGCAATAGCCTTTAATTTTTAACAGAATCAAACTTATCTTTATCAACATTTCACCTTGAAACTTTGGCCCCCTTTTTGCAAGAAAGCTTTCGTCAAGAAAAACTATTATTCATGTTTCGAACTCTTTCTTATCTCTGCATCACTTTACTCATCTAGATCTACTCAGATACTCATGCAATAGCCTTTAATTTTTAACCGAATCAAACTTGTCTTTATCAACATTTCACCTTGAAACTATGGCCCCCTATTTTGCAAGAAAGCTTTCGTCAAGAAAAACTATTTTTAAAGTTTCAAAATCTTTCTAATCTCTGCATCACTTTACTCATCTAGATCTACTCAGTTACTCATGCAATAACCTTTCATTTTTAACCGAATCAAACTTATCTTTATCAACATTTCACCTTGAAACTATGGCCCCCTTTTTGCAACAATGCTTTCGTCAAGAAAGACTATTTTTAAAGTTTCAAAATCTTTCTATTCTTTGCATCACTTTACTCATCTCAATCTACTCAGATACTCATGCAATAGCCTTTAATTTTTAACCGAATCAAACTTATCTTTATCAACATTTCACATTGAAACTATGACCCCCTTTTTGCAACAAAGCTTTTGTCAAGAAAAACTATTATTCATGTTTCGAAATCTTACTCATCTCAATCTACTCAGATACTCATGCAATAGCCTTTAATTTTTAACCGAATCAAACTTATCTTTATCAACATTTCACCTTGAAACTATGGCCCCCTATTTGCAAGAAACCTTTCTTCAATAAAAACTATTTTTAAAGTTTCAAAATCTTTCTAATCTCTGCATCACTTTACTCATCTAGATCTACTCAGTTACTCATGCAATAACCTTTCATTTTTAACCGAATCAAACTTTTCTATCAACATTTCACTTTGAAACTATGGCCCCCTATTTTGCAAGAAAGCTTTCGTCAAGAAAAACTATTTTTCATGTTTCGAAATCTTTCTAATCTCTGCATCACTTTACCCATCTAGATCTACTCAGTTACTCATGCAATAACCTTTAATTTTTAACCGAATCAAACTTATCTTTATCAACATTTCACCTTGAAACTATGGCCCCCTTTTTGCAACAAAGCTTTCGTCAAGAAAAACTATTTTTAAAATTTCAAAATCTTTCTAATCTCTGCATCACTTTACTCATCTAGATCTACTCAGTTACTCATGCAATAACCTTTCATTTTTAACCGAATCAAGCGTATCTTTTTAAAAATTTCTCCTCGAAACATTAGTGTTATACGAAAAAGATGTCATTACCAAGATGACAAAATTACCAGAATACATATGATAATTATAGGAGTGTTTAACTTTTATTCATTCTTGAAATTATAGCAAATAGAAGATATCAAAGGGCCATATAATTTAATCAAGGATCCACTTACCCATGCTGGCTTTTCTTGCTTACATGCTTTCATTTCGAGACCATTTGTTCTTTGATCTCTTTCTACTTCTCAATCTTCCTCGTCTTTTTCCGGAAGATAAAATGGTTGAGCAATCCAGCTTCAACTTGAAATAGCTTTATTCTTTCAAATCAACAAAGCTCTTGGGTGCCAAATAACTGCTGCCATGGAAGATTGTTACCAGAACGATTACAAAGAAGAAAGAGCACGTCTTGAAAAGGCTAGGACACAGGGCTACATCTGAAAATCTATATTCCTAACTTGCTAAGTACAGAAACTGACTTTGTCAAGAAAGACTGCTACGAAGATTTATACAAGATGTAAAATTAGAGCATTTTGCAATGAAATTGATAAGTGGTTACTGAGAGAATCACATAGGTTTTGGAGTCCATGCTTTGTTACTCGGTTCAAAAGAGTATTTTGGTAAACTCAAAAAAGAGTACGCTTTAAGACGAAACTGACGATATTCAGATGATATTATAGAGATTCAGTTAGACATCAATATTTATGAAACATTTCAGACTTGAAATATTTATGAAAGATTATTCATATAACCTTTTCGCATAATCGACTCATCATTCATTCCCTGGTTAGTTTTGTAGGAGGCTTTTTGTGAAGGAGGGATGACCATAAAGTTAGATTTTTGGATATTTTTAATCTAGTTATCTAATGCTGAATGAAATAAATCTACTTATGTGCAATTGAATACAATCTGCTAACCAACACCAAGTTGCCAAGCTAAATAATTACTACAAGAATGAAATATAAATAGAATTTGTTCGTAAACTAGACAATATAAATAAGTAGGAGGCATTCCTTAAGAAATGTTTACTTGACTGCCAAAACAGCACGCTTTCCGTTCGCAACTATTAACAAAAAGGACAAAGGGTGGCAACCTACATTTCCAGTCACATATAAAATGAGAATTAACTTATGTGTTAAAATTAATTCACGGATCATTAAAAAAGGATTTATATAAAGTTGTCTTGTTGACATCTTTCGATTTGATAGAGCTTCGTATAAACCTTTGGAATAAATTGAAGTACATTAAGGGTGATAGGGCGTCTCTTTGAAATAAATGGAAGTAGTTTCAAAGCATTTACTAGGTTGCTTTTTATAGCAAAGATGATTAAAACATATGGTGAGCATGAAATCGATTATTCTAATATTCTATATACAGTTAGATAATAAAGAATACAAATAGAATATACAATATAGAGAAGGGTTAAAAGGGGGAATTAGAAAAAGACATACGACAAGGTGATGCGGAAGGATGCGGGTATAAGGGAAGGGTAATAGGAAAAGTAAGGAAAGTAACTAGGGTCGTAAGGAGGAGTGTAAAATGGAGGGGTTATAAGGAGGGTATTGGGTAGTAGAAGTTGGGTTCAGGACAAGGTAAGAGGTATAAAGGGGGGATATTTACTGCTCTGAAGGACGAGGTTGCTTATATTTATTAAAGGCATTGGTTACAGGTCTGCAAATTCTAATGAAGGTTATAATCAATCTCGCTTCTAGGAAAGGGGTGACAGATGAGATTTTAAGCAAGGGTGCTGGAGCCACGGGGCAGTGGGGGCAGCTTCCCCTGTTGCCCGAGTGGTGCGGGGGCAGCACGGGGCAGCACGGGGGCAGCACGGGGCAGCACGGGGGCAGTACGGGCGCAGCAGTAAAGTGCCCTTTTCAAGAAATTAATTTCTGAGCAATATCAATTCATGTAAATATTTTAAATGCTAATTAAATATCTTGTTTCAAGCATCTCTTAATATCAAAAGTTAATGTTTTCCATTTTACTGAAAACTTAAAAATCGATTTGCAAAGCAATTTGACTACCAAAAACATTTTCGTTGATAAGTTTTCTAAAACTTTCATGATCATGCTGAGAACATTTCAGATTGCTACCAACCTTGGCTCACATATGTTCGATATATCAGTCAAGGCATCAATGATGTCTTAAATTCAAGCAAAGGGGTAGGAACCGGTTAGCACAGTGGGCACATACCGCCCCTCCCCCCCTTTTTTCCAAAATCAAGTTTACCTGCCCCTTTGCAGCTCACCGAGGTTTTCTTTTTGCTAACTGCATAACCCATAAAGTGCCCTTGAATTGCTTAGGTGCTATACAAAAGTAGCAAAGGGGTGACCTGTTGGGGCAATGATCTTAAATGTTTCTTTTCGCTCTGCTTTTAGAAACACCAAAAAACAAGCTCACAGCAAGGCTTTCCGAAAGGATGTGGCGATGGAAAATTGGCCATGGACTTTGACGTTTAGGGCGCTCTCGAGGTTTCCAGTTCGTGAAAGCAATTACTAAGACATGACAAAATTTTACAACTTTTTAAACGATTGCAAGTAAGTGACTGCAAAAAATATTCTGAAATGAATTTCAAGGTAATCTAAATGTCATGGTCGCCAAAAATTTTCTGCTCGTTTTGCTCGCAAAGGGTCACCCAAACCTCTCGCTGGCACTGCACACAACTAAGCCAGAAAATGATATCTATTTCTTTGTAACGGCAGCCATTTTAACAATAATAGATTGATGTGATTCCTTCTGCTCTCAAGAACTTAGTCAAACAGATCGAGCCAAATATGGAACTCAGTTCCAAACAAAATAAGTATTCCCTAACGTTTGATGCTTGTGATCTTGACAAGAAATATGTATGCAACGTAAACAATATTTGATTTAAATTATATTTAGCGCTTGTAATTCAAATAAGTTGGCTTTATTTAGCTTGACTATAGCTGCAATGCAGATTGTACGAACTTCAAATAGAGAAAGCGAAAAATAGTAATTTAAAAGGAGTTGTATCCAAAAGTTGTATCAAGCAATGTAGATAGGATTGGGTCTGGCCTCCCTTGTTGGTTGATATTGGGGTGAAAGAAATTTCGAGAATGAAGTTTGACTGTAGTTTTGATTCAAATGTATTTTTTATGGGGAATGCCTTCATTTCGGGGGTTCTTTAGGGCGTAGCAACGCAAAACTTCCCTAGGGGCTACGCTCCCAGAGCACCGATCCTGTCTCCCTTGACAGGGCCTTCATCTGCAACCAAGAGGCTTCATCATTAGCTAAACGACGATTTCCAATCTGCTTCACAGCAAAATCTGATACCCCAAGGTGCCCTTTCTGTCAGTCCTGCCCCCGCCGCATCACAAAGCTTCGGGCGCTTCTGGTTTTAAGAAATATATTAGAAAAAGGGAAGAGGACGAGATGGCTAGGAGGGGTAAAAGATAAGGGCAAATAGAAAAGTTTTAGGGGTGTGTAATAGAAAGGGGCACGAGGAAAGGGTTATAGGCTCGGTAAAAGGAAAGATTATGATAATGGTGATGTCAAGGATTATTCGAAAAACATGCTGTTTACAACTTCGTAAAAAGGGTCATTGTAAACACTTGTATGTCGCTTCCTTCTTTGATGTAAACAAATTGGTAAAAGATGGCAGCAAGTTCAAGGTGCAAGGTTTCTCTTGGGGGTTTTTCGTTGCCACTTCTTCTGACTACCAGCATGGACGTCAACAAGGGCGCAATATTAAAAACTCCTGTCTTTTTCTAAAACTGCACTCAGTTTTATGTCCCAAGTTGTTTTGAAAGAGAGCCTACGCATTGAAAATGTCCTTGGGGGTTACTGTCTTCCAGAATGTTCTCGCTTGAAGTTTCTTCACACTGTAAGGTCTCTAGTGGTGTCAAAATGCACCCTGTTATCCCAAGCGCAATCGTTGCAGAGATGGTTGCCTTTTTTGGTCAAAACTGACCTCAGTTGATGAGCAGGGGTGCGAAAAGCATGCAATAGGGGGTATCCCAGAATGCACTGGCAACGTGTCAAGCCAACGTGCTTTTCGATTTTCCCCTCATTCACGAAGACCCGAAGTCGCGGACGGTCAGGTTCAGGAAACGGCTGTCATCTACGTTCACATGTAAGTAGAGAAATTTAGTTTACAAATATCTCTGTTTTTTCTTTAATGCAAAAAAGGGTTTGGTAGATGACAAATCAGCTGGAAATTAGATTGGAAATACAAACTTTGGAGGTTTTCTTAAACAGGGAAAGATTTGCGTGTCTCCACGTGCAGAATCATTCGAAAGTTTCTCGGGGTTTTAGAGGCTTCGACAATGCACAAACTCGTTAACTTTGCTTTAATATCTTTCGTCAATTTCGATGTTAATATGACTTTCTTTTTTCTTTCAGCTACACAAATTGCTGATTTAATATGGAGAATGCGTTTGGAACTGGTAGGGATGGTGCCTGGTTCCTCAGAAAGAGAAAACATCATTCAGATGAGGAGAGCCCGTGGAACGTCAATAGCTAAAAAGGTGATGTTTAGTTGAAATTCATTAATTTCTGTTAAAACAAACTTTGCTTTAATCACTTTTTCCTATTCTAGTTTCTGTCGTTTTCACAAAGAAGCATTTTGACTTTTTCTCGTTTGGATGAATCTCTTTTCTAAATAAATTCTTTTTATTTCAGCGATTGCGTAAACTCTAAGGAGGACCCTTCATTGAATCGCCGAAACCCCTTCTACAGTCCCACGTGTGTCGACACTGAAGGTGCCACATTCGCAGCGAAAACGGTGAGTTTTGCCATTTTTAAATCGTTTTTTATCGAATTTTATGGTTGATGCTAGATCAATCTTTGAAGAATCAACGATTCTACGTGCTCCTCGCGGATTTCTGTCATTTTTTCCCAAATCAAAGTGTTCCTTGTCGAGATTTACAGTTTAAAACAAGAACGACGCATTTGCAACTATGAGCCAAAATTGACCAGCATGGGACAAAACGATTTGAACGCACTCACTTTTTGTTGAATTTTAAAGCGAAAATACTTTGAAAATGAATTTCAAAATCAAGGAATATGGAATATATTTTTCACTTTTTTGTCACACTTCTGTGCATGTTGGAAGATTTGTAGTTCCAGAAGATTATTTCATTAATCACATTTATCTAAGTCTTGCTTTATAAAATGCACAAGATTTTCGGTGAACCATTGATTAGAAAATTTTGAATGCTACTGCGTTTCTCGTACGATACAACAAGTGAAAGATAACTTTAGCATCGTTTTATGATTGACTTTTCTCGTTTACTCGTTTGGATTCATTTCGTTCCATTTAATAATAACTCGAATCTCTTTTCTAAATTAATTTTTTTTTTTTCAGCCATGGCATAAAGTCTAAAGGAAGATTCTTCATCTGCAGCACTAAGTGTGAAGATCTTAAAAGAGCAAAAGTCACGGCAAAAATGGTGAGTTTTGTCATTTTTCAATCTTTCCTTGCAAATTAAAGGTTGATGCTAGATTAAACCCTGAAGAATTAACGATTATATGTTTTTTCAAATTTTCCTTTATCAAGACATTTACAAGTTTACAAGAATTACGCAATTAAGGTCGTTGATAAAAATTCACCAGCGTGGGCAATTCTAAGGTAATTTGCCAAGTCAAAATTCAAAATTCTTGCGCTGAATGCCTCGTTTTTTGTGTAACTTTACCGTGAAAATACTCTAAAAATGAATTCCAAATTCAAGGGATATCGAATGAATTTACACTTTTTTATTAATTTCTGTGCATGGACATTTCGATGAATCCTTGATTAGAAAATTATGATGCCTCTCTCGTACGATGCAACAATCGAAGGAATATTTTGCAATTTTTTATGATTCTGGCTGCTAAAATTCGATAATTTATGAAAGTTTTTTAAGCTTGACGATCGTATATTTGCGCGAGTTTTTGAATTAGAAATCTATCAAGAGTCTCTTCCACTTACTTCCCAATATTTTATTGCCACACTTCAAAACATGTTCTGCAAGATTTGTACAATTTTCTGTAAGCTCATGGACCTAAAAAGATTAAGGGACATTTTGATGAATTCAATTATTAGGCTTTTAAGATATTATTGATCGAAAATTAAAATAAATTCAACGAAGAAATTATTTTTGAAAATTGCCGCCGCAACTTTTTGAAACATTTTTTATAATGGATTTTTACCTGAAAATTCTCGGGTATAAAATTGTCAAAATTTCTGTTGCTCTCGATTAGAAAAATTTTTCTTTTTTCCAAATTTGTTTCAACAGTTTCATGCTAAGATTTCAGATTTGCTCGCGGTATCTCGATATTGTATTTAAAAATTAGTTTAAAACAATTTGCCCATAAAATTTATATTAATTTTAGAGGATACAAAACTACAATTTCAGCTATCTTTTGCAACATTTTTGTCAGTTTTTCAAATTAAAAATCTAGCATCATCACTTTTCCATACTTTCTGTGAAATTTGTAGAATCTTTTCCTATTTTATGGATTTTAACAAATTAAGGGACATTTTATGGATTCAATTGTTAGGCAATAAAGAACATATTTATCAAAAATGAAAATAAATTTTACTGAAGGAAGTATTCTCGAGGCTTGGTGATGCAATTTTCCTAAAACATACGGTGATTGATTTTTACGCAAAAATTTTTGGAAAAAATGAGTCAAAATATTTATTTCCCTCGTTTTGAAAGCTTGCTTTTTCCAATTTCGTTTCAAATTTCCTCATAAGCTTGCATTATTATTTCACTTAATTGCTCATAATCATTTCGGTATTTTTTTCAAAACCAGTGCAAAAAGATTTTCTCTTTAAACTTATTATTACTTCAAGAAACTTAATTCAAAATAAATCTTTACATTAAGTTGTCTTTCGCATATAATTTTTGCATCGCTACAATCATTTCAAATTGCTCCGAAATTCATTTTCAAAATATTTTCTGCCAATCGTTCATGGAAATCTTTAAAAATTACAGGACTATTTCGGAAAAATTATTTGGAAATTTCAATCAAAATATTTATAGCACTCGCTTAGAAAAGCTTGGTTTTAGCAACTTTGTTTCAAGTTTTCTTATAAGCTTGCTCGATAATTTCACGTATCAAATCTCACAGCCCATAATCATTAATTTATTTCGAAATCAGCACACACAAAATTTTATCTTAAAACTTATTATTTTGTTTAAGAAACTTATTTCAAAGTCAAGCTTTACTTTCAACTATCTTTTGCAAAGATTTTTTCATGGTTACAATCATCTTTAATTGCTACTTAAAATTCATCTTCAAAAAATTTGTTACCTATCTTTCATGGAAATTTTTCAAAAAACAGGACAATTTATCAAAAATTTTGGGAAATATAGAGTAAAAAAATTTATTGCTTGGTTTTGCCAATTTTGTTTCAAAGATTTATAATATTATTATAAGCAAACTTAAACTTCACGCAACATATTGACTTGTAGACACTTATTTAAAAAAGCTTATTTTCCGCTGCCTTCGGCATAGAATTTTTATCATCATTACAACCATTTTAAATTGTTATAAAAGTTCTATCTTTTAAACTCAGCAAACATTTTAGACTAGAGAATGCAATCCTCATACTGAAATTATCAGAATTCTTAGCTGATTGAAGGTTTAGTCATAGGAAAATATTTTCAGGTCAATCTTTAGAATTTTGTATACATTTGATTAACATTGCTTTACTATTACTGACTCGACTCGTCTTTCTTACTTTTAGGCATCCTCCATACCCCCATTTACGCCCACATCAACCCTCTACCTCCCATCTTCCACCCACTCAATTCCTACCTGATGATGACTGGATGGGACACAAGAGAAATAAGAAGAAAGAAAAGAGACGAGAGAGAGACAGTTGGCAATTCCTGACGAGGCAACTCCCCGATGATGATGATGATGATGATGATGATGATGATGATGCCTGCGAAGAACATTCATTCTCTGTCCAAAGTTGGGTGAAATTGACTTTCATTATGTCTTGTAGTATATATACCTGTTATTTGCAGTTATTTATACCAGTTTTTTGCAACCTTGATACCATTTTAAGATTACATTCTTTAGACTGGTAAAAACTTTGATAATTTGATAAGTATATTTATTTAGACTGATATTAATTCCCCTCGCAAATCATTTCAAAAACTTTTCCTATTGGCTGTTTTCATTATGTGGAAAATTTCCCAGTTTCAAAATTAAATACATTGAGAGTTACAAGCTTTTTCAAAACAACACAAACTCGATTTTTTGCAATATTTTGTTGAAAGCCCTCCATTTTTCGCTATATCAAGTCTTTGATTTGTCAAGCAAACCCACTTTTTCAAGTATTAGATCTTCTTAATTGATTTGATCTCAACCTAAACCTACCCAACATTTTTCAAATAAAATACAATTACTTTGTGCTAATTGCCTTTAAAGTTTCCCTCTTTAAAGAAAAGTTATAATTTCCCCCAAATAGGTATGTTTCAACAACCCACAGAACGTTTTCCAATCGATTTAGGATCATTAATAACTTGTACACTGCCAATTTTATTGCCTTTTCGCCTTTTTTGAAGATATGACATTTTGCAATTCATGTTAGGCTAAGTAGATTGTATTTAAGATGCATTTCTTTGCCATTGCAGTTTTAATGATATTTGTAGAGTATTTAACTTAGTTTGATTGTTGTTAATGATTTTTTGCGTTGTTATCTTGGCATTTTCTCTTGAACTGGATCTTCGACTTGCACGTCGGGATCTGGTCCCTGGGAAGTCCAAGTTCCACGCGCCTTTGTTCTTATTGTTTTGGTTTTTCTGTCGTTATTGTTCCAAGAACAATGCCGACCGAAAAACCAAGACAATGGGAACAAAGGGGCTGAGGAACTGGACAAATCCCATGGGACCAGATCCCATTCTACAATAGGGGTGGAGTAGGCAAAACCTATCTTAAACTTTTGTTTCATCGCTATTGTTCTCTATTGTTCTCTCTATTGTTTCAAAAACCAAAATTACCTACTTTATCTAGAAAAAGGGCCTACAAAAGTAGCTACTAACAACTTAGGCCTACTAAGAAAAGTAAACAAAGATATTATTTTAAGATATTGTATTCTTATTTTAATAGATATCATTTTAAGTCAAAAGAAAATATTAAGTTAAGATAGGAATTAATTAAAAAGTTTTTGCAAACTTTATATATCCAAAAATATAGTTAAAAAACATTAAAAGAGATAGCCTATAATTGAGAAGTTTTTGCAAACTTTATATATCCAAAAATATAGTTAAAAAACATTAAAAGAGATAGCCTATAATTGAGAAGTTTTTACAAACTTTATATATCCAAAAATATAGTTAAAAAACATTAAAAGAGATAGCCTATAATTGAGAGATTTTTGCAAACTTGATATATATATTAAAAGCAATGTAAAGATTATTCAAAAAATTATTGAGCAATAAAGAGTAGACACAATGAAAGAAGACACTGATTATTAACTAAGAAACTTTCTAAGAGAAGATAAAATGTTTATAAATTGAACACTTGATTGACAATTAAAGAGGAAATGAATCATCAATGAATAATCAATGAATAATTAATGAAAATGACTAATGAAAATGACTAATTGAGTATCTAAATCAATGTTAACTACAAAAGTTTGTTTGCTTGTCATTTTAAAAAAAATTTACGCGCAACTTTTGAATGTATCTGCCTTTTTGAAAATTAAAAGGTAAAAATGCCGTACTTGTTATTAAGAAAAGGATTTTTTAAAAAAAACTAAAAACTGGCTGTAGTGTTTGTAGAGAATTGAAATGAAAATAGTTTTGTTAAAACACTTATAAAGGCTGCAAAAATTCTAATTTCAGCCCAAACAAGCATGATATTTTGTATATTCTAGTTATAAAAGGCTTAACTTCTAATAGAAAAGGTGCTTTTTGGTTTTTTCAGATCATCAAATCAACATTTTTGGGTATTTTAAAATTGCGGTTGCCCTTCATCAAAAGTACAATTTTTAGCAGAAATATCAGATATAATTAAAATATTTCTCAATTCGAAAACATGCAGATGAAAATAAAAATATGTGTTTCAATTTCTTCCTCAATTTTGTTTCCAGTTATCGTTCAAATATATGAAACATTCAAACCAAATTATTGCTGTAATTTGAGAAAGGATTTGTCTGAAAAATCGGGCAATTTTAGTTTCAAATAAAAAACATATCTTTTGGCCTACTGGTTCTTTCGATAAAGCCTTTATGCAGATTGTATGTTTTGATAAAGTTCAGACAGACAGTAATTTCTTGGAAAAGTTTTGCACCTAAATAGCAATGGATCTTCAGATATATGTTGATAATGACTTAAGAGAATGTCCTAAAGGCAAGGAAAAATATCTGAAACAGCATACCTTTGTTTCTATATACAACTGTCATTTCAATCGGGTGAATGTGTCTCTTGTCAACATCTTTAGGCAATTCGTCAACATCGCAACGGCAATCTAGCATCGCATTCGGCAAGAATTCACACCAGACTCTAAAATCCATAGCCAAGCTCTGAAACAAAGATAATTTATTTAAATACAAGAAGAAAACAATATCAAACCATGATGAATGTTTATTCATGAATTGTAGACTAGAAATCTTCAACCATCAAATCTGCAGTAATACTTCAATCACAAAAAATACCAAAATCGTGTTATGGTTGGTAAATGACTTTAAAAAGGAAAAAACGTTTTGTTTATTTGCTTTCACTGCAACGTACAAAAATGCAAAATTAAGCCTCCGGTTTAGGCAATTTCTAAATTGATGTCGATTCTTGTGTCCCCTTTGAGAGCAAGTGAGACCAGGCAAGAATGCTGTAAAGAATTCAGACAGAATTCATGTCGCTGAGAGACGGGACCAAAAGCTGATAATGCGAAAATGCAGGTAGCCAGGTGTGTAACGAAGTCTTTCATCACTCTTGTGATCGAGTCCATCACCAACTATGATTCCATGAATGATTGGGAAAAAAGATTGAGGGAAACGAAAATTTGGAAAATTTGGAGATTTATTTGGACTGGTGACAGCAGCAATAGTGTATCGAAACAAATTGAAATGGAAAATGGCAGAAGAAAGCAATTTATCAATCATCAATTCGTTATTAGACAGGCACCTTTTGTGAATGGAATTGACACATGATTTGCTGGTCAAAAAGATAGAGTAATGATTGTATTCGACAAAGCCAAACAGAATGAATACCAAAATACGGCTCTAAAGTATCTAACAGGACATAAAAAGGACAGTCATTTGCATCTCAAAGAGGGTACCCTTACTTTGGAATAATATATCTGGACCAAGCAGATTTAACAAATATAGCAAGGCAAAGAAACTTACAGGAAAGGACAGAGCAGGCAAGAACTGAACAAGACAGATCATTAGGAAGAGGACATACATGAAACTCGAAGCTATAGAAAACGCTCGTTAGAGAGAGGGCATATCGAAATTGATATGTCATAGCCGGAACTGATTAGAAAGAGGATATATCAAAAACTCGATACAAGAGAGTGGGGTTATTAGAGAAAGGACATATTAAAGCTCGATGCTCAAGATAGGGTTCATTAGAAAGAGGGAATATATAAATAAATGTATGATGGAGGGGGTTCTATAAAGAGTGCATATATTTGAAACTCGATGCAAGATATGAGACTTGCTAGAAAAAGGGCACATTTGAACTCACTGCAAACGAAGGGGTTCATTAGAGAAAGAGTATATTTAAAACTTGATGCAAGTGAAGGGGCTCATTATAGAGAGGGCATATTCAAGAGTCATTGCTACAGTAAGGGATCATTAGAGAGAAGATATATTTAAGTGACGGTGCTAGAGAGAGGAATCAGTAGAGAGAGTAAATACTTAAAAAAACATGTCATAGAAGGAGCTTTTTAGAGAGTGGATATATTTCAAACTTGATGCAAAAGATGGGACTTATCAGAAAAAGGAAATATTTAAACTCTCTGCTACAGAAGAGGCTTATTAGAGAGATGATATGTTTATATACTAGTAGAGTAATTAATGTAGCTATTATGCTCAAATTATTAAACATTTGACCCTCCTTCCTTCAACCCCCTCGTTGTATCTATTTTCAAAGGTTACCGCTACCTCCCCCCCCCCCCCCCCCCCCCCCCCCATGACATGCTAAACCTGCAGTTAAAGCTGTGAACATGAATTACTAGCCCACGTTAACTTCTCGTTTGAATGAAGGGGTGTCTAAGTAAGACCCAAAATATTTTCTGACTCAAGTCCATGCTTGATTGCTTTATGTAGAGTAACTTCTTTCGGGTTTTTGTTACTCAATTCTACTTCGGTTACAAATATTTATTAAAATATTTGGATAGACCTGTTAAGTGATGTCATTATTTGTTTTTTATGATGAACCACAATGTTTGATCTGGGCCTTTACGAATGTGCAAATAGATTTTTGTTAGTCCCTGTTGATTCGAGTCCCTCGTCTTAATGCTTTCATGTCAAAAAGGCAGTAGATGGCCGAAATAATATACGGTAAATGTATCTTAAAACCGAAAAAATCATTTTCTTTATTCTGAAAATAAATTATTCTCAGCTATATAACTATAGCAGAAATAAACCTTTTGCTCCCAAACATATTTTCATAGGCAAAATTTCAGATCCCATTATATTAACTCGTACTTTGGCATCATTTCTAGAGTGCCCCTAGGTGATGAACCAAAGATAATTGCTGCGCGAGTAAACATTTGGATACAAATATCTCCCAGGATCTTGTGTTCATTTTGATCCCCAGATAAAGCTGTGTAAATGCATTTTTATTAGCCTCCGTTAATCAAGTGTCCTCATTCAAATCTTTTCGAAGTTCACCCTTCGCTTATCCGGTTATTCATTCCAATATAGAAATATAGAAACACATCTCGGTTAGCAATCATTAATCAAGTACCCTCATTCTCGATGGTTATCCACAAGATCTTTTGTTTCCTCTTAACCCCAAACAAATTTTTGGCAATGAATTTCTGTTAGGCTTTGTCTATTTAATTCCCTTTATCAAAATAGAGAAAAATACATTGGAAAACAAAGTCCATGAAAAGCACGAAGTTTTGACAGGTGCCATTGTTATGAACTTAATAGGGGTTGAACAAGCAGCGTGGCTAGAGAGCTTTACGTCTAGTACCTTTACAAGAGCGCCAAATGGGTTCAGAAAATAAGGAAGCTTTGGGAAAACCTCGAAAAAAAAGATGAGGAGATTCGATGGAAGGCAGCAAAGGGACCTAAATCTAGTAGCAAGGCCTCTGTTAGGGAGCTTAAAGCCAACATTTTCATAAGAAGGGCGCTAGAGGCAATTAAAAAAAATCATTTTGCAGTTTTCATCGACTTTTTCATTAGAGGGGAGGTAGGATCCAAATCATTTCAACAAAATTTATCTGTCTGCTTATTTAAGACATCGAAGAAACAGAAATTGCCTATTAGAGAGAAAATATATTTAATCTGCGGTGCTAGGAAGGGCAAGCATTAGAGAAAGGGGTGTTAAAACTTTTTGCCACAGAAATTGCCTATTAAAGAGAGGGCATATGAAAACCTTTTCCTACAGAGGGGGCCTATTAGAGAGAAGATATATTTAAACTGCGGTGCAAGGAAGGGGACTTGTTACAGAAAGAGCAGGTTAAAACGTTATGCCAGAGAAGTGTCCTTATAGAGAGGAAATATACTTGAATTGCTGTGCTAGATAGGGTACTCATTAGAGAGACGGCATGTTGAAACATTTTGCTACAGAAGGGGCCTATAGAGGAGGGGATATGTTCAATTTACCGTGTTAAAAATAAGAGCCATTAGAAAGAGAGCATATTAAAACATTGTGCGAGAAAAGTTGCCTATTAGAGAGAAAATATACTTGAATTGCTGTGCTAGATAGGGTACTCATTAGAGAGACGGCATGTTGAAACGTTTTGCTACAGAAGGGGCCTATAGAGGAGGGGATATGTTTAAATGACCGTTTTAGAAATAGGAACCATTAGAGAGAGAGCATATTAAAACATTGTTCGAGAAAAGTTGCCTATTAGAGAGAA